CTGAACCCGTTGAATTTGAAGTTCGGGTCAGCACCGTTTAGCAAGAGAGTCTGAACGAGATCAGGGTCACTAAAGTCTGACCAGTGTCCATATTGCGGCTCAGGTCTGCACGCATAGTCGAGCAGTGGCCTACCGCGTTTGTCCAAACAAAGCTGGCCTTTTGCACGGATGGTGTCTTGGACGTACAAAGTCAAACCGAATCTGACGTTCAGGGACATGAAGTTATCATGCCAGGGAGCAGGCCTCGAGTAATCCTCCTCCCATGTGTCGCACCAAGTCGCCCCTTCGTATCGTTCCTCTTTCCATTCCCCTACATTGTTTGGGAAGTAAGTTGTCATTGCTCTATCAAGCTCATCCAGGAGCTTCCGAGAGCTCATCTGGGTATTCGATTCTGCAAGTCGCGCGAACAACAGTGTATCTATCACAAGTCCCCAGGGAACCTTGCGATCGGCAGGTTGCTGCCATGCTAGATTGATTCTTTTGACTTCCATGATCAATGATTGTAACACAGCCAGGGAGGCGTGAAACTTCTGTCCTTCTGTTTGGGTCACCAGATCGTCCCAGACCTCTTTCTTGTATAAAAAATCAGCAACAGTCCTGTGAAGATACACAACGTCCTTGGTGCTTATTTGTTTTACCTGGCGTGATTCGTCCCGACCTGTGTGCTCTTTCTGGGACTTGACTCGCGTCCGGAGCTCTAGGAGACCTGCGCAACGGCTTCTGAGTCGACGGTCCGTGGTGATCTCGATCTTTTCGAGTTCTTCATCTGACAAGGGACAGATTTCTGCACTCATGATCTCCTTGGTTTTGGCTTCTGCATACGACAATCTGACAGCGGACAGTGGCCTTGCAGAAATTCTTCCCATTATAGACGACTGCTGGTGGCCTTCGTCGTTGCACCGAAGAATTTGGAATATGCATGCGGCTTGCGACTTGTACAAGGGAGGCACATTACTCAGCATGTGGGTGAAAAGCGCCTCAAGGTCTTGCGGTAAAGCTCGGAGTCGTAATTGAAGATCTTCGATCTTATCGCCATTCTGTAACCCTTGGAGTAGAGACTTTACTACAAGTTGGACCCATAAGAAAACGCCAGAGGCTGAGCTGACAATCTCTTCCACAAGGGCTTTGGTGTCGTCTTCGTAAGTGGCTTTCAGATACACCATCTGAGGATGTACGGACAAGCTGTCATCCACATACTTTGTGATATCGTTATGAGTGAGCTGCTGGAGCTGCAGTTGTGGCTGACCAGCGAAGCAATCCGTAAACTCCGTGAGCGGCCTGCTCGATAGGAGGGCTTTGATCTTGCCATTCTTCGTGGCAGTGATGAACATCTCCCCAAGCTCGGTCATTGTGATTCGTTGAGCATCGAATTCATCTAAACCGTCGACTACTATTACGATTTTCGTGGATGTGAGAGGATTGTTCGTGAGCCTTCCAAACGCTCGCCGAAGCTGGTGAAACGTTGGGAATTCGTCCCATTCAGCGTTGAGTAGATATTGCTCCGCAAACAGTGTAGAGGCTAGAGACATGTCCTGACCGAGCACTTGCCAAAGTAGTGAACGCAAGAGACCTTCTTGGGACCTTTGGATTTGAGCACCCGAACTCCAAAAGTAGTAGTCAGCAACAATGAGATGATCGCCTCCAGCCCAACGTTCTAGCGAATCCATAAACCGGGGATCTTGATGGAGATACTTCATCAACGTCGATTTTCCGGATCCGGCCTTCCCATTGATCCAATACACGCCACCATCCTGGCCAAGCCAGTTTGCGAGGCTTGGCCAGCTTGAGGAATCTCTACTCTCCAGTGCCCAGTTGAAGGTGTTCTGATGCGCAGTATCGATGTCGTCGTATCTATCGTCTTTCCGGGCGAAGTGTAACTTACTCGTGATTGCGCTTGGGACATCCTTTATGCTGTACTTTTCCAATCGTTGATTGGCGATGGTACGTAAGACCTCTTTGTGACGTATCGATGCCAAAGAGCTGTCGACCTCTTGCCGTTGTATGATCTTTTCGGTTTGTGAAGTTATTGTCGTGCCGAGTTGTTTGTTGCTCTCCACTATGCTCAGCATCGCCGTCCGACTCGTTTCATCTAGACCTTGTAATTGATCATCCCTGATAGACACTAGAATTCTAAACTGAAGCTCATCACGCATTGTCTGAAGTCGTGACTTGATATCCTCGATCGTTTTCGCATTCCAAGTTGCTTTCAGAGCGCTGAGAATCGTCTTGTATCTGGCCGCGTCTTTCGAACATCGCAACGACTCGAGTTTGGCGATAAGTTCTTGAGCAATCTTCGTGCACTCAGCAGCCAGATCATCAAGTGCCTGTAGATATGTAAGACTGACGTTGTGGGCGCCCAGACCTTGTACATGTCTAACGTACCTGGCTGTCCTGGGCCAATGGGCCCGAGCTGGCCGGATTAGGACGAGCCCATGATGTGATGCGCTCGTTCAGTGCCGTGAAGTCTTCAACCACCCGTTCTAATTCCGAATTCTGTACGGTAGAACCTGACTGGCGAAGTTGGTTTCCAGTTGACAAGACTTTCGCGGTGAAGTCTATAACCTGTAAGATGTTGGCAGCAAGACTAAGTCCTGCGATGGCTTCCATGGCGACCACTCGAATGTGACAGGAGGAGACATCGCAAGTGTCAGGCTGAGAGCTGGCGTCTTAAAGGGTCGGACGAGTATGCAGCTTAGCTGCGTGCAAGTGTTGCGCTAACGTTCAGCTGAAGTCGTGCGGGTCTGGAAGCCAATGGGCGCACATTATCACCGCCACCAAAACAGCCAACAAGTGGTAACTCCGAAGATCGCCCAACCGACTCTTCTGCCTGTCTGTAGAGATATTCCATGATGCTAGGGACATGCGCTTACCGAACAAACCGCGCTGTAGTGTGAGAATAGCGTCTAGTCAGGGTGACACCACATAAATGGAACAAAAACCCCCGAACAACTGCCTCCTAGAAGTCAACATTACCCCGAAGAATATGTGAACTTCAGCCCTTATACCAATGTAGACGGCAGAGTACCTGTTCAGCTTTTCCTCGAATGAAGTGGGACTGGAAGTGAGTTGGCGAGATTAACTCGTGAAAGGGTATATTGAAACGTATCGATACGCTCGCCTTGATGGAAAGATGAAGAGCCCAATTCTTCCTTGGAAATACTCACGCCGTGTAGGAAAGAAACGTACGCGTATGTTCACCAAAAGAGAAACAACCTTGAGCGAATGCCGCACCACTTAATCGTCCGAGCCGTCCTCAGGAAGCTCCCTTAGCACGCCCTCCACAATCTCAATGAGCTCATCCACATCCGGTCGCTCGCTTGGCTCGAGCCTCAAACACTTCCTCACAACCTCTTTCACGCTGTCTGTGATAGCATCCTCGGGGTTCGCCTTCTGCTTGCCCCTCTGCATACCCTCGTCTGGAAATCTCCAGTCACCACCCAAGACACATATGCTCAGACTACCACCTGTCTCGTCTGACCTAGCCTCGAAGGGGCTCTTGCCGACTAAGCAGGCGTAGAGCGTGCAACCGAGCGACCAAATGTCTACCTTGGTGTCAATGACAGAACCGGTCTTGACGTCGAAGAGTTCCGGAGCGCGGTATGGCATGGTAGAGTGTTCGGCCGCGGTGTCTTGAATTTGTAGGGCGAGGGATCGCGACGTTACGGGCGTGGGGGATGGTGCGAGGGAGCCGAGATCCATGAGGATGGGTGTCTGGCCGTCGTCGTCTATCATGATGTTTCCTACGCGTGTTAGTCTGTAGAATGGGCAACCATGAGATGAATGGAGTACATACCAGGCTTGATGTCTCTGTGCGCGTACGCCCTCTCCCCGCCAGGCGCAATGCCTTCGTGCGCCGCTGTGACTTCTGACTCCTCTAGCAGTCCTTCTGCCTCTTGCTCGTCGTCCTCGTCATGATCGCGATTCCGCCTGCTTGGACGCATCTCCATGGTCTCCGCAGCTTCCGCGTCTGCCCTCTTCGCGTCTCTCCGGACTTTCTTCGCCTTGCCTTCACTCTTCGCGCCGCCGGGCCCACCCTTAATCTTGTACTGATGCATCGCCTTCAGCGCTTTGCAGACACCCAGGAACAGCACCATGAGTCTTCGCTCGGGGAACTTTGTGTGATTGACCAGGTTCGCGTTGATCATGTCTTGTAGGTTGCCGCGACGGTAGTATGGTAGGAGGATGTATACGGTCTTCGCGGATGAGTCTGATTTGTCGGTTTCAACGGAGTAGTCGATTGAGTGTATGATGTTGGGGTGCGGCGAGAAGAGTGTGTAGGCCTCGACTTCCTTGAGCGCCAGGCTCACGCTTTCTTGGCCGAAGGGACATCTAATCTTCTTGAGTGCGAGGAGTTGTTGATTCGAGTTGTCTTGTACGAGGTATACATATGAGAAGCCACCCTGTGTCGCGATTAGTTGACTGAATGCGGTCCATTGTATGTAGCTCAGCTTACCTCGCCCAGCAGCCGTAATATCTTGAAACTCCGACTGTTGATCTTCAATTGTGGTGAGCTTGGAAAGCAGACCATGCAATTTGTAAAGGAATAGACGACATCTAGGAAGTATGTGCCTAAGGATCCCATCGTGGCGGTTTCCGTTGCGAGTGCGATTTGTTTTGTTTGCGAAGCTATCGACAGCTTGCGTGAAGGCGGTGCCGAGATAGACGCGCGGTCAATTCGAATTGTCGAGTGTCGCAATAGTACGGAGCTTATGTTTGGGTGATGAGGAGGTGATCGGTGCGGAACGATAGTGTAGACGTGTTGTTTACTGTGATAGGATGTGGGTGTGTTGGTGCTGACGACGAGGTTCCGGGTTGCGCCAAGGCGTGGCTGTGAACCCTGGCAGTTGCACGCTTTCGATCGCCTGCGGAACGTGGTCGGGAAGATCCACGTGCGGCTAACCCGAAGCGGGCGCTAGCGTCGCATTGCCCAAAAACTTGAAATATGATCCAAATTCCACAAAAATTTGCCATCAACGTCTCCAAGAGACTCAATACATCTCGGGCGTATGGCTCAGTGGTAGAGCGCTCGCTTTGCAAGGATTTTAGCGCTAAGCCTAGTGCAGAAGTCTTCAACAACATGCGAGAGGTCCGGGTTTCGATCACCCGTCCGTCCATTTTTTGGCCCCTTGATGCCCCCTGTAACTCTTTTTTGAAGGTCTAACATGCTATGTTGAGTATAGAAGAGATACTACAAAGTTCCTGTGTCTACAACCACCCTCAACGTCCCCTGGAGGTTTTCGGTATATCACCTAGGCGAATTGAATCCACTCTACATGTCGAGCCCGTTCCCTAACACATCCCACATCACCCGCCCGTCCATTACAACTTCTTTTTTTGCTGTTTTTCCTGCCTCTTATTTCTATTTGTGCAGTTTATAGCATGCTATCGCAAGAGTTATGTGGATCTTGCGAATCTATCTTGTCTAAGAAACTAGGATGAAGTTTCTTAAAAGGGGTGAAGATACACACAAACGCTGCTTGCATTGTCTTGCATTTTGTCTATGCAGCCAAGGTTCAACCTCCGTACCTTGCTTTCACCTGTGATACTCTGCCGTGGACCGCCTCTACGTCCAGTACCCGAAGAGACTTGTTTCTTGAGGTTTTTAGAGGTAACTTCGGCATTTCCTACCTGGATTATCAGGTCAGTCGCACGTATGTGTAGGTCTGGTCAAGATCAGTTGGGCTGGCGACATAAGTGTTTAGATGTTTCCCTCAACGGTATTGTACCCGTCTACCACAAGGAATTGAGCACGTCGTCATAAGAGACCAGCTCCTCAGAAAGATAACCTCCCGCTAATTACTAATTTAGCTGCATTACTAACTACCTCATCTACCACAACATCTTAATCAGGCCGAAATCTAAACACCGTACAGCCTACATCGACGCCAGATTTTCCAATCCTCTGATATCATCCCAGTGTATGCGGCAACACCATTGAGTTTCATCTCTGTATTCGAGGACCATACCTTATACAAGAAGAGTATTAGACAGGTTTGCAGACTACATTAACGTAAAAGTATGCAATATAGGTAGCGTAACGTCGACGTAGACTCTAGGGTGTTCAGTTCCTCCCTAGTTGAACGTGACCCCCCTCTCAAGGCGCGACATCCTTCGGCATCCCATCAACCCCCAGATCGATCTCCTTGTCCAAATTCTCCAAGAACCCCTTGCCGCGGAACTCTTCCTTTCCAACGCTCTTATCCATTATGCCCGCAACCTCCTCACACTTATTATACCACATCCTCTCGTAGTTGTACTCGTCCGCGGGACCATCCGGCATCATGATCCACTCAGGTATCGCGCCTTTCTCTTGCTCACCATCCTTGTACCACCAAAACCTCGCCGTGTCATCCTCTTTTGTGCGCCAATTACCGCGGTTCCAGTTGTGTTTCAGCGGAGAGTGCTTGTCCCATCCGCGGACGAGATGGCGGTAGTAGGCGATGGGGTGGATGTATTCGTTTGTGTCGCCCAGGTCGCGCAGTTTGGTCCATTTCGGCGCTTTGGTGTCTTCGTTGTAACACTCGACTTCTTCGTGGCCGGGCATGCGCTGCCAAGATCCGATGAAGTAGTATATGCCGCTGTAAGAGTCTACGAGAGGACCTGTACCCCAGCTGAAGTCGAAGTTGGTATGTGAGTGGGGTGGAGAACGCGGCGGAGGTTTGAGTGTGTCGTGACCGATGCCGGGAATGGAGATCTTTGGGAGCAGGTTCCACGCTTTTTGAAGGAAGTTCTGGTGGTGATAGGTGCATGCGAAGCGGAGGCGAAACAGCCAGCGCGTGTACTGATCCATGGACAGCTGGAAGGCATGGCGATCGATGGTAAGATGAGGCGAGATGACTTGAAGCATCCAGCAGAGGGTTGCGGTGGATATGTTTTCCGAGTCACCCTTCATGTCGCCGAAAGCGTCTTGTGAACCACCACCGATATTTGTATGAACACCAGGAAACCAAACCTGCTTCAGCTCCGGTGTTGGTCTGTTGGGGTCGTCGACTAGATCTTTGGGTATGTACCAAAGAGTAGGGCGGAAGGCCTTCCGACGCTCATCCAGAGCCAACGCCTGGAATGCATGTTCGATGTCTACAAATCGTTAGCCTCAATTACTCGCTTCGACACCACTAAAACTCACTCTCCGTCAGCTCGACGTTGTGAAACCCATACTTCGTCCTCGACCATGCCAGATCAATACCAATCAGATCAGGTACACCCAACGAGCCGACAGTATCCCACACACCAACCACCTTCACCTTCCTACTACCCTCACTAACAGCAAGCTCACCATGCGGTCGAATATCCCACACTTCCGCCAGCAGTTTGAGATCATGCCAGTCGATGTTCCTGACATCTACGCCCTCTTTCTCCATCTGCAGACCCTTCTCGCTGAGCTTGCCTTTGGTGAACCATCTGTACTCATTCGTCTCCCGAAAATCAACACCCTCTTCGTTTCTTTGATACAGACGATACAGCTCCGGAAAGAACTGCATGTTGACGGGTGCAATCACACCGATATCCGAGACCAGCCCGGCAACCGCACGTGCGGTGTAAGCTCCTCTCGAAAATCCGAAGCAGAAGATCTCATCGCCCGGCTCATAATTTTGTACAATGAAGTTGTAGGCTTCGATGACGTTCTCCGCAAGACCAGCTCCCGTGCCGCCTTGTCGTCGCCTCTCAGAGGTACTTAGATTCCCGGTTCCTATCCCGGAGTCATAATACACAATCTGGTGGAATTTCTTCGATGCGTCGTCCTTGTCGGTGCCAACGCGCGCTATCAAGCGGCAGAGTCTGGCGACATTTGAGGGTATGTTGTCTTTGCTGCTGACGCTAGATTGCCATGTGCCATCGCAGCAAATCACTAGCCGTCGTCTCCAGGCGGTGTTATCGTTGACCATAGTGGCAGAAGGCAAGATTGTGTAAGTAAATGGAAAAAGAAGAACAGAAGGTCGGTCGTCTGTAGCGCGCAATGTCGATTATAGGAAGGAGGAATGCATATAAACAGATGCAAGAACGCTGATCAGATACCAAGGCTGAATCGCAGGCAAGCGCGTCGGACGTCGTTATATGATACTCAGGGGTAAGCAAAAAGACAAGTAAGTACACGCAGCACAAAAGACGAAGCTGACCGGTTCCAAGCCACGAAGCTGCATTCAGGCAATGGGGCAATGAGGCAGCGCAACTCTTCTAATTTATCCTCATCGAGTCGTACACCGTGAATGGTCGATCACCGAATGCCCATGACGGACGCCTAATTCCCCATGTCGCCAATGCGCCCGCCGCATTGTCCAGGTGCGGCTGAAGGAGGCTGCCAAGCGACCTGTTTGAGCGGGATGAAGCGCTGCTCCTACCCGCACGCCTTTGCATTTTCACCGAAGGACGGGTCAGACCGTGAACGCCTTCAGGGTGGTCTGATATGGCGCGGAGGTGTTGGAGTGAGAATTGCTCGCGTTGCGCGCGTCGGCGCGCTGTCTGAACATGAGAGAATGCGGTGTGCGTGTATGGGGCTTGTGCACGCGATCAGCATTGCCGTCGCTACTTAGCTTTGCCGTTTGAACTTTGATTGCGATATCGAAAACACTGTTTGTGCGCGTGCGGATAGTTGTGAACTGATCAATGTGTGATGGGTGTTGGGGGATCATGGGCGGGGTCCGAGGCGCAGGCAACGCGGTCAAGGCGTGTCAGCTGTTGCCCGAACCCTGAAGTAAAAATATTCAGGCAACGGCAGGCACAGCCCGTCTCCAACTCAGAATGCCACAGCAACAGTCAGATTGCTGTCAAAAGCTGCATTCTTGTTACACCAAGGTCAGCTCAATACTTGCTTGTTTCACTCGGCACGTGCATGCCGTCTCAAAAAAAGGCCGAGTATGCTTGCACCGCACGAAGGCGGCGGCAATGTACCAACATGCATTCTTCTCGTCAATACCCTATATCCAAAAAGCGGTCTATGCTATCGCTGAACATCAAATCGTGACCAACAGTCGCTGAAGAGCAAATCCGTGGAGTATCCCAGTGCCGTCTGTCGCGATATGGCGCCATTTTGGCGCAATCCCAGAGTACCATTGTGGCAGCCCCAGGCGTGCCTATATAACGCCCACCATCCCACCATGAAAAGAACGCTTAATCGCTGAACATCACAAGACTACTTCCTGAAACTTGTACGACAATCCCGCGAGTCGTCAAAGCCCCTGGCGTCAAGCACTCACATTGAGCGAGGTGAGTTACCAGCTGTATGCGGCCGACTGCCGTATTGAGATCCATCATTAAAGCCCTCGAAGCTTTCACCTGATGACATCCTCCTCAGATCGTTGTCGTCGCCCATGTCGACGTCTTCCATCTCGTACCGTCCCGCCCCATTCGGGTTCTGCGGCGGTCCCATATTGGCAAAAGAACTGTATTGCCGTGGGGGCGCCGCGGGCGGAACGCCAGCACTGCTGATTTGTTCTGCGAGGCTCGGCTTCTCCGCCAGATTGTTAAGCATGGCGCGACTCGCGTCCAACATCGATACGGCGTACTCGAGGAAGTCCGCTCGCTTGGAAGAGACGGAAAGCGTCCAGCGGTATTCGCATAGCCTGAGCTTGTAAAACTCGGCCTCCTCCTTGGCGGGTGCTGTAGCCCATAGCAGTGACCCAAAGGTGCCGATGAGCGTAAAGTTGACTTTGGAAGCAAAGTACCAGAAACCCTGCAGATGCTCCGGCTTCAGACGGTTCACAAAATCCATAGCAGAGATCAGTCGCGTCTTCGCGGCGTTGCGGCACATGAAGAGGCCATACGAGTCGGGGTTGGTGGAGTCTAGCGACTGCACTATGCGCCTGTGCAGCGTAATCTCCGTCGCAAAGTACGCGAGATGCAAATAGCCCGTAGAGGTGAGCTTGCCCTTCTCGGGAACGTTCATCTTGACCTCTGCGGGTAGCTTCTCGTGCCATTGACGAAGCTTGATTTGTACTGGCTTGGCTCGTGCGAGGATCAACTCGGTCGACTTTCTCCCCGCATTAGCAAAGTCGTGGATCGCCGTTTGGGTGTAAAATGTGTCCATGACCTCAGCCATGATCTGCGTGAGCCCAATCATCTGGGCGAACAGTATCCGGCCTCGGTGGCTCTCTACCTGCTCCTCTTCGGATTCTTC